TGATAGGAGAAACCTGAGTAATTCTCACCTGTAACACAAGAAAATAAAATCTTTTTTAAAATGGAGAAACATATTTTGAAATAATTCCAACTGAAACATCTACGACAACAACTACAGGGAAATACACGCAGGCGTTAGGCTGCTATTCAATAAAATAACACCCTTCAATATACCCCTCAGCACAGTGCCAGTTTTTATTTACAGGAAAACAAAAACCACCTTGATCAAGAACAACGTAAGTAAAGTATATTGTCTCGCCTGGTTTTTAAATAAATTCGAGCGATGAAGTGAAGCTCTTCTTGAACTTCAGAGGCTCTGCACTGGCACTATCACTAGCAATTCCATTTGGCGTGCCTACTCGGATTGAATCAATAGCGAGGCGAATGATCGGCCATCGATATTTCCTAATTTGAAGCTATGGTAAAAGATCGATTATTAGGGTGTTCGTTGAGAACACCCTGTTTATCGATCCTTCTCCATATGTTTACATGACAGATATATCGATGTATCGCAAAACCACTGGATTGAATAGCGAGCTTACGAGTCGGTGCAATTTATCACCTCAATTATGACTGCAGTTTAACTTTTTGAAATAACCTTTATCCGAGCCCTATTGTGGGAGCAGATGCCAAATGCGCCGGGGGTGCAAGGATTCACTCCGCGCTGGTTCGTCGCATTGTGTCAAATTCAGGCAGACGCCTCACCTCGGTGCATCTGCATTTTTAATTTATAACCTCATCTTTAAACCTGTCATGTTCCGAATCCAACTTGGCACTTTTAATTTGTCAGCCCGGTCTGTCGGATTCGAACGGAATTGATGTATCGTATTTATTGAACATGTTCGGGTCCCAGTCGAATTGAGGAAACGTGTTGAAAATATCAGAGTATAGTTCCTTATTGTCTCCTCCCGGGAAGACTCTCTTAATGGTCTTTTTTGTCAGAAGTGAATGAATAATCATTCTGAACTCCGCGATTTTTTTCTTTTTTCAATTGCACAAAAAATATACTTTACTAAGGTAAGGTACACTTTTAGATATATATGAAATAGGACAGGAATAGGCAGGGACGAGGCTGAAAAACACGATAATTTACGAAACACGGGACGTTTCGACCGGTCTCCTGGTCATCATCAACCGTCGAAAAGAAAAAATTAAACAATATAAAAAAAAAAAGCTAAGAAACAGTGTTACCAGTCCCTATACACTCCGGTTTTAGATATACACTTCATTTTTTGAAAACTTAATTTAAAGGTTAATATACACAACAAAATTTCATACTACAATTATACTACCTCTGATAATGAGAAGGAAAAAGAGGAACAGATGAAGTCAAAGTAAAATATCGTTTTGATTTAAAAGAAGCAACTCTAATTATTTACTTGATATTGAAAGAGTGAGATTTGACATTGAAATTTAAGATTTTTGTATGAAAAATGAACGAATAAAGATCCCGTGACTACTCTCGGTAAAAAGTCTCTTGGAGCCAGAGTCCAGACTTATAAAAATTATTGACAAGAGGAAATACTCTTGATTCACTCGGTTTTTTGCTTGATTCGACGGTCTCATAATTGAAGCGGATTTTCTTTTTGATTCAAGAAAAATCCGATTGAACCAAGAGAATTTTTTTCTTTTCCAATTTTTCAAGAGTTTGGACTCTAGATCCAAGAGGCTTTTTTCCCAGTTTAATTAAAAGCAACATGTTGGGCAAAAAATGGGTTTAAAAGAATCAATGATGAATTATTCTGCCATCCGATTTCAAGGAGCAGCCCCTCCTCTTTCATTAAACTTAACTTCCTCTCCTGAAATGCTGCCCATTTGCGTAATGGATTTTTAGTTCACCGCCGGAGACAATTAAGGCTCCTCTCATAACTTTCCATGAAACACACCCATGCACAAAAATGAGCAACAAAGTTCGAGGGATGAGCATTGTCTTCCACTGCTCCAAGTGTGGTAAAGCATTGTCAGGACCGAGGCATGCAGGTAAAGGCGGAGCAATTACACGGCTCAGCTGTAGCACTTGATTCCAATTTTAAGCCATCCTGGAGTGGATTATTTATACGCCATAAAAAATGTTATCATCAGTGGGGGTGGAGACATAAAGCGTTCACATTTTTAAAATATGTGAGCCGAGTGTATGTATTACTTCTGCTGCATTACTGTTCGCTGGAACGTAGGTCGCGTTCCCGGGGTGCGCTGCGCGCCTAGGTGGTGCAAAAGCTATCGTTTCCTTCCCCGCAGTCACCGCACCTAAACTACCCCCATCGCTCCCACCCCGCCGCTTTTGCCGGTACTCAGCCTTCTGGCCCTTGGTATTCATTTTTCCGCGGATGCCAATTCGATAGAGATGGCTCACCTGCGGGCCGATTATTGAAATTGATAGACAAAGCTGTAGACAATGAAGACCAAAAGGATATGGTGGGATCCTATTGGAGAAGCGGGTTGTTGCAATGGTCAAAGCAGGGAAGAAGTAATAGACTAGCTAACGGTAACCGACAGTTAGTTCATCATTTTTACCCTTAGTCTGTAAGAACCACCAGTTGCAACCAAAAGGATCGCCCCGTACTCCCTATGTCTTTTTTGTCTATGGCTTTGTCTATCAATTTCAATTATCAGTTCGCTGGTTGGGGGTTCAAAGCTCGGGGAGTTGCCTATAGACTGACAGACTCTGATCATAGAGCCCCTGAAGTATGTCAGATGGAGACGCATTAAATAGTGGGAGAGGAAGAGAAGAGAAAGAAGAGAATGGGATGAGGATCAAGAGGAAAGGAAAGAAGGGATAAAAAAAGAGAAAGAGTAAGAATTTCCTTTTTCCGTTTTTGTCTTTCTCCTTTTCTCTCTCTCCTCGTGATCTCCTTCGTCTTTTTCTCCTCCTTCTTCTTTCTTTCTTGTTCTTCCAATTCGGCGGATAAAAGCTCGGGTAAAAAGACCCAAATTTATCAGGTTAGGGTCAAATGAGTGAACGATTGACCATGAAATCTGGGGATCCGTAATTTTCACAACAGTAAGTCCACCTCTGCATTGAGAACAGTATCTTCTGCTGCCTATCGCAAATTTCACTTTATCCTGCCAGTTTCTAACCATAGCATTTGTTTGGTGTTCGTCAAAATTGCAACCACGCAAGCATAGAAAAGATGGCACAAATATTTTCTTGCCTAACATGAAATATAATTGGGCCCCTCCTATAAACACTCGAAGGTCAAACCCCACGCTTTTCAATGATTTGGACGATTTTTAAAAGCCTTTTGGACGGCAATGGGAATTTTGCGAAGAACGGAGGGTTCGTTCAATAAAATCTTCTATTCGAACGCTAGTAGGTCTATTTTCTAAAACTTTAAATTCTGGAGTTACAGCTCTCCTCGGTAAACTCGGCAGAATGGCAGCTCTGCATTTCTCTCCGCTTAATTTTACTCATTATATCTGCTCATTGAGCTGTGACGGCTGACGAGAGTACGTACTTTTTTTCCTCCGACTCATGAGGCACTCGTAAATGCAATAGCTTGGCAGTCTCTCACTTACCTTCCTTACGTTGTTTCGACTAAAAACAGCGAAAATCCCCTTCCTTCATCCCGAAAATCTGTAAGCTCTGTGCACCAGCACCCCTCCTGCGCTAAAACAGAGGAAGTCAGCTCGCAGTTTTTTTGACTGAGCTGGAATTCCTCCCTGCGTACAGCCAAAGGTGGTTCTTCTCAGTATCCTTAGCTGTATCACCTAGTTGTGAATTTCCAGCTTTTCTGTGATAGGCTTTATGATTTTATCTTTTTAAAGGATGCTAACAGGTCGGAACCTGGATTTGGAGTGCCGGGAGTAATTATAACTGCAGTGAAATCGACGTTGCCAAGGCGGAAATCATATAATCCATTGGCGGATCCAGCGAATTGGCAACATTGTATTTCCCCCATTTAAACCTGTGAACATGTTTCGATTCTTAAAGGGACCAGGAGCTCCGACAAGAATCGATTATTATCATAGGTTTAAATTGAGGAAATCCGGTGTTGCCAAATTGCTGAACCCGCCTCTGATAAAATCCTGTCCGCAAACTTGATTCAGGCAGGAAATTGTGATGTGTTCATTGGCTTTGATTAGAGGCTTCTTTATTCAATTCCTTAATTGAAGTAATGGTCTACAATCAAAGTTCTACAGTGAAAACTCTTCTTAAACGAAACTCAATGCAAATGTAACGAGTGGGCAAGGAAACTTTTATCAGAATCGCTGAAAAAAAGTTTAATCACATTTTCACGTTATGGGTCTCTTGCACAAAGAAGATAGGTTCAGTCAATCAGATGCGATTCTATACGTTGAATAATACAAAAATAAGGTTAAGCACAACAGGGAGCTGATTATTGAAATTAATAGACAAAGGGAAAACGGATCAATCCTTTCGGTGGGACGGGTGTTGCTGGAGTCAAGGGAGATAAATTATGGTAATAGTACTAATCGTCCCCCTTAGTGTATAAAAACCGACCGCTACCACAAATACTGCCGTGTCGGCAGTACTTCAATTTTCGAAATTGAGTCTCCTCCAAAAAAGGATCTAATCTAATTTACTAGGAAATCTTAATGCAGTTAAAAGAGCAGAATTCGTCTTCTTTGTATGAAGTGAGACATTTGGAAAAGCCCTGAGTGCTCAAAAATTGACGTTGACATATAAAAAAACCACGAAAATCCGAAAAATGTTCAGTTTGAGCCATAAGGAAAATGATGCAATTTTAAACATTGATTCAACGGGTGCGCCCTAGCTGGAGAAAGCAACGAAGATATATGTATTTGTTTGATACTACAAATATTCTCTTAAAGCACACCTACATTCGGGCGCAAAAAGTTCCACGAGGAGCAGTGGCGTGCTTTGCGATATATCGATTGATCTGTCATTTAAACCTATGGAAAAGGATCGATAAACATGGTGTTCGCTACGAACACCTTCATATTCGATTCTTCACCATAGCTTCAAATGGAGAAATATCGATTATCGATCATTATTCACGCTTCGCTACTGACGTGGAGAACACAGTATGTGCTGCAAACGTAGTATCTCAATCAAGATGTCGTAAAACTAAGGAAAAGTACTGAGATTAAGGATACATAAATTGCAAGACAGCCGGTATAAATAGACCGCTGTGAATTTTTTAGACCACATATCTAGTTCTGGAGTAGAGCATTTGGTTTTTCACCGGTGAATTTAGTTCTGCCTTCGAAATCAGAAAACCATACACAATGATATTTCCGTGCTTCTCAACTATTGTGCATTTTTATGGTAAGTCTGGAGAAATGTTTATCTTGCTCAACTTGAACTTACTGACCGTGAAATTATAGATTCTACTTAAGATTTTGATGTGGGCTTGTACTGTACTGCTCAATCACTTTGCCCTGTACAGTTCTTGCGATGATCCCAATGAGTTGAACAAAATTTTGAAATTTTTTGCTTCCATTAAGTTAAGAACCTAAATTTTTCCACATGTACTCAACCTTCATATTTTTTGTGAGGACATTAATAGACTGAATGCTTAATGTCTCTAATAAAATTAATTGAGTGATTAACTAGTTCTGCCGCTTGGTCATTGAATCCGAGATTTCAACCTTGTTTTATAATTTCATCACTTGGAGGTAGGCGATTTTTTTTATATAATCCCTCCTCCCCCTAAATTTTCAAAGATCTTTCCTCATACTCTCGGATACTCTTAAATGAGAAATTTTCTGAATTGATTTTTGAATTGAATGAAATTTGATTTATCTGAATTGGCCTGAGGGATCAATTCTGATACACCCTGTACCCACTGTTACATTTTTAATGCAACAATCAACAACTGATATCCATGTCAGTTCAGTCAGCTCAGTCATGCAGTTGTCTGTTGTCAGTTTTTCGTTAGTTTTCATATTTTTACTGGAAATGTATATGCTACTCTTTCACACTTATTTACAACTTACGCGCTTTTTTTTTTAGAAAACCTTCCTTTATTACTTCATATTGTTTCACGTAAATAAGTTACAAACTTCTCGGTTGTTTGTATATTCATACATATTTTATATTTATTAAAAAAGTGTTTATATTTTCATGTATAAGGAAGCTCACTAAAAACGAATAAAAAAAGAAAGAAAAAAAAAAACCTTCCAACGATGAATCTCTCTCACCATTCTTTAAAGGTTTGCAGAATTTTGAGTTTTCGAGTATATTCTTATTCTTCCCATATTTCCCTGACACGACCAATTGAATTAGTTGCAAGCTATTTTTTAAGGAAACTTGAGTTGTTTAGGAAATAAGCTTTCAATATTGAAAATTGAAAAATAAATAATGAACAAGTTGGTTTTGCAATCGCTAGCGATAGCAATATTCGTCATGGGAACTTTTGCTTCTGGAATCTGGAATATGAAAATGTTAAGGTACAGTTCGTTTGTAGTATCTTCAGAATTGAAGGGGCTATGTAATTTTGTGTCGACATCTCTTTTTTAACATTTTTAATTTTTTTTCTTTGCATACAAGAAAGCTGTTATTTACCAATTATTTATTTTCGTTGGATTATGTATGGTTTTCGGAAGTTAACGCATTTAACTTTCAGTTTCGTTTTTTCGGCGTAAAGTATGATATTTTTACTCTACGCATATGCCCGAATACGCATCATAAGTGACCTATGTGCTTCCTAAGTTGCCATTTTTTTCATTCAAATAGATGTAACTGAAATGTTAGATGTGTACTACCTATACTACTTTCATGTCATTGCTTTATTTATTTATTTATTTATTTACTTTTTGAGTAGGTATAAATTGTTATTTTTTGCTGAATTTTGGAGAAAATATTGCTTCAAGAACGTGGAATGTAAATTAATTTTATTGAAAAAAGAAAATACCATCATTAATTTGGGCGAACAGAGAAAATATACATCAATATTTGGGTCAACATCTCCCTGATTATATAAAGGATGAATATATTAGTATTTCTGTATCAAAAAACTTAGCTTTTGTCTTCAGAGATACAATGATTCTAGTCCCAGTCAATTTGTTTTATTGAAAAAACAAAAAAACAAAAAATAAATAAAAAACAAGCAGTGAACTCCAACACAATGTGTTGATAAGGCGCGTCATTAACTCGCACATATCAACCCCTTTAGTTTTCATTTACAGAGATTTCAAAATAGGCAAGTAGCACATCAAGAGAATTCATACGATCCAACACTTCAACGACGCACTTTGACGAAACCGTGTATTGTGAATGTAGAATGCTATTCGAACGAATTCAAGTTTTTTGATCTGCCCCCAACAAAATCTTATCAGATTCTTGAAGAAAAGTGCTGCGGAATAATTTAAGCGACGAAAGGAAAAATTCTGTCGAACTCCTAGAAGACAAAGTCGATTTAAAAGTATTTTGGGGGTAAAATACCCAAATCACCGGTAGTATAAATCCCGTTACATTATTGAAAAGAAATTGACTCGATATAAATGCAATTGCTTTAAATATGTCTTGATTTTGTTACTTTAAACGTCTTTCCATGGGAAGAAGTTCAACCATGTTTATGCTTTATTCATTCATGAATTGAAAGTAAGAAATCTACATCCCGAAAATCTACCGATTTGCCGTAAAATATCGTAGAAACTTGATATACCAAGTCGATGCACCCACTCGTTGAATTTACCAACCAATTTCGTGAGTGCAAATATGTAAAAATCAATATGTTATAGTCATTTCGGGTGCATTTACTTTTCATGAAACAATAATGATTTCAATCCCGAAAAACCATCAATTTTCCGTATAAATTCGAAAAAATCAAAATATGTCCACTCCCTGACGTGGAAATTAGATTCTACGTGTGAAAATGCTTATGCATCGATATGCTGAACAGAATCCATGTTTATCTCAAAATTTTTCTCAGAGCAGGTTTGTGTTATAATCAGCTTCCCTTTAAACCCCGGTGCCATGGCCGAATTCGGCTGCCCAAAAAGCAAGCCATTTTTGAAGGGTTCTATGAGAAATTCGTGATATTATCCTCTCAGGAAATCACCTCATGGCTAAAACTGGTGGTATAAATGTTTGAGTGCTTAAAATAATCGTATTTAAGAAACCAAGGCATTAAACTATGGAGTCAATTTCTTTTTAATAATATAACGGGATTTACTACCAGTGATTTAGCTATTATAGCCCCAGAATACTTTTAAAGCGCCTTTACGTTCCCGAATCTCGACGGATTTTTTTTATTGGCTTAAACGACTCAAGAGACACTGAAGTTAAAAATATAAAAAAATTTCGATTAGGATATATAAAACATGTTTAACTCGTCGAGGCACACTGTGTATTGTGTGGAGTACTGTTGCTATTCGACCTTTGTCTTCAAGTCAAAATTCTTACAAGGAAGCCCCTTGCAAGAGGCGAATTTTTTGTAATTACTCCCAATTTTTTTTCCGTTATATGATGGAATTGCTTGTCAAATTCTGAGGTCAATTTTATCTAATTGTAATTCATACATTTCTTTTTTTCCCCTTCATTTTACTTTTTGTTTGGAGAATTCGAGGTTTTGTCGATTTCTTCAGATTTCGAATACTGTAACTTCTCTTCTATTCGGCTGATTTTTATGAATGTGATCTCTTTTAATTCGTGTTTTAACGGAGAGTAAGAAAAAAATTGCTAAGTACACGCGAAACAATTTTTTTTTGAAAATTGGATGAATCCTAGCGTGACGGCGAAATGGTTAATGAAGCATGAGTAATTGGGCGAGGGGCTGAGGATCCCGGCCTCGCTTGGCGACCGTCATTAGCTATTGTTCGTCGAGACGTCGACGCAGTGATCAGGAGCGTGGGGAAGAGAGGGCAAAGTGGATTCCTGTATGAGCAACGTTTAGCAAATGGTCTAATGAGTCTCGAGGCTCATCACAGATTGCACTTACATGATACTCACTTTTGTCTGGTTATCAGAGCAGTGCTACCAAATCTTGAAAATTATAACATGGTTGTGGAGATTCGTCAAAGCAACGTTTCGAACAAAACGGAGGAGTGCCATTCTCATTCCGAGAGTGCCGACCTGCTCAGCCATCCTCGAATCAGTTCGCTTGCTTCTGCTTATATATGCATATTTTAAATCAGCGCGTCGCATTCTTAGGCTTTTTTTAAAAAAACCAAGTAACGTAGACTCTTGGTATTCACTGCACATAAACTAGCGAGCCCCAGAATGAGAAATAACTTTGAATCATAATTATTGACGGATTAATAAACTTTTTACACGCTTTGGAAAATCTCAGAAGTTCGCGGTAGTCACTTTTCGGTAAGGAACTAAGGGACTCGGTTATTGTATCGAGCAGGGTTCGAAACGATCGCAAAGGCGGTATACTACGTATACGCGCCAAAAACAACTGAAATGTTAGACATACTATTTTCATGTCTTTCTATTTGTATCAATAGGTACTTTTCGCTTAACTTACGAACGTTGAATGCAAATTAACTTTATTGAAAAAAGAAAATAACGTCATTAATTTGGGGGAACATGTGGCTGATTATATGAAGGAGGTATATTCCAGTATTTATGTTTAACATATTAACTCACGAGAAAATTTTCGCACATTTATCATCTAGTATTAAGTATTTTTTGATGATTAGTCTAAAACATTCAATACAACCATTAAAAAGTAACACCCACCGTCGGGTATCGAACTCCCGATTGCCTAGTGCCCGCTCCTTTTCATAAAAATGTGGCGACTTAGTCAACCAGGCTATCATGGCTCCGCGGTTCAGAGCGTAAAAATAGCTTACAAAAGACTCTGACGGTGGGCGGGGCTTATCACAAGAGTTGTTTTCGACGCTTCGTAGCTCCTGAGATATGAAAGAAATGAGCTAAGCGCCTCTCTCTGTGAGACATTGTTTACCTATGCTATCATGTGTCTCAAGGTTCATCTCATCATGCATTTGCTATCGCGGCAGTAAGCTGAGGCAATATTTCTGTATTCATGGATTAAATCAATCAATCGAGTTCTGATTTTGGCTCATATATCCGTAACGAGTCCTCCAGAACAATTTTCCACCTTGTACGATGGTTATTATTTCTTTTCTTCTATTTTTCGAATTTGAGGTGGGATAATGGCGGCTTCTCAAGAGCACCGAGGTAGGCGATCTTTTGCACCAACGAACAGAAAACTGATGGCGAAAACTAACCAATCAGAACCTCCCAAAAAAAAGAATTTGCCTAAAAACGGAACTTCGTGGTTCTGCGCAGATTTACCAGTCAGACACGACATCTCAAGGTGGAAAAAAACTCGCTGAAAGCGAATTTTAGCAATCAACACAACTTGACGTAGAGACATGATTGGCTAAAAAATACAACGGTTTTTGATACATCGGAAAATCAACCAAAAATCGAACACTGGGCGAAACGCTCAAGGTCGCAGAGGCATAGGGAATCCCATAGCGATAGCAACGGAACGATTGTAATATCATGGGGAACTCCGTTCCCATGACAAAATATTTATGCACACAAACATTTTTTGTTCCTCGTTTGAATTATTGTCTAGCCTCTACATTACGACTGAAACGGAGCATGCACACAAGACTATATTCAAGAATGTTTTGAGAGAACAGAAAATATTAGGATGTACACGCCCAGTAATAGTTCTATTGCTCCCAAGTAAGCAATCTCTCTTCCCTAGGTTCATTTAGAATTTTTATGAATTGGATTGCATTTTGCAAAAAGGAACCACTAGCATTGCAATGTTGCTAAGATTGTGCAACTTCTTTTGTCTAGGAGGAAAAACCCGATTATCCATTAATAGTTTCTATTTTACTCGCTAAAAACTGTAAATTTAAGACAAAAATTACTATCTTAATTTCATAGTTTTTCAAGATTTCCGCAATTTTATTGCAAAAGATGAAGTTGCACAATCTTAGCATCATTGCAATGCTAGTGGTTCCTTTTTGCAAAATGCAATCCAATTTTCCTAGGAATCGAGGAAAAACACGATGATTTGTTTCCTTGATGACTACGTTCTACATGTATTTGTCGTAAAAACTTGCGACTTCAGTAGATACATTATCGAAATGTTGTAAATTGTTTCCTTGAAAATGAGCTAAACATAAAATTGCGCAGGTAATATGCGGTGTTTGCAGTACCCTTGCTGCGCTTATTGACTTCGATTCAGAGACGAGATCTGAAATCCTGGCACGTCGCTCTGAGCCTGCAGGATGTGTATGTATATTAATATCCTTCTCTACTTTCCGTTTCAGTTTTTGACAGTTAGTGAATATACCATTACGTTTCCTAATAAATAATCGTACTCCTTTAAGAGAGAACAAGAACACATATCTAGAAGTATTGGGTTTTAGACTGCAACATCAGTCTATTTAACATTGGGAAAAGTAAGCAAAATACGTGTGATCGATTTCAAATTTTCTTGGGAGATACTGTTACATCATTAATGCTGCGAAGAGAGTACGCCCGCAAAATTTTGATCGGGTTCTTTGCGAAGGAAGAAATATCAAAAAAGAGACATTAATTTTTGACAATTCAATTGGTTTAGATGCTTGCACTGAAAACGCTTAGACCGTCCCTCTTGAAAGGTTTATTGAACCAAAACCTTGGAAATCCGCCCAGCTGCCTGATTGTTGAAAGTGTATGTTTGTCGACGGGACAAGAAAAGAATAAGGAGATGGATTAATGTAATTGGTCGGCTTAATTGGCCACTAAAATCACTTCTTAAGTTGCCGATACTTTATCATCAAATCTACACGACAAAGAGGGCGGCTAACAAAGCCAACCAATCACATTCCTCCTCAGTCTTGGCTTATACTGTTGACTGACAACTTGATGTAGTACAGTCAGGCTGTAACCGCGCATGTGTACGGATATTTCTCAGGGAACTCAGGGACTTCGTCTAAATATGGCATATATTTATGAAACCTTACAATGCGACAATCCTCCACTGAAAGTTTTAGCTTGAGTTCAAAGCTCGTTTTGACGATTTAGCGTTGGAAAGATCACATTTCTTGCCATCGATAAATGCGAATGTTTTGAAATCCCCTGACCGGAAAAACAACTCTAGTTCATCACTTCTTATTTTCTGAGGCACAGTAACATCAACTATTGAAACTTTACCTCAGAGAATGGAACAAGATCAACTAAATTTGTTTTTGTTTTAAACAAGGAACTTTTTAATACTAACATTTTCCGATAGTAAAAAGTGTAAACTTTGCCACGCCGAATTGCCAAGACAAAATTTTAAACCCGGGCTGAACCTTCCAACAGAGGATTTTCTCATTTTGAGGTTTCGTTTAGACCACATTGAAAAGAAATATCCCTGCGCTCCTCATGTGAAGGGCACAAAGATTTCATTTTTTAACAGGCTCTTTCTCTGCCTGCACGGAAAAAAAAGGTTGTCTCGTGCAGCCATGAAGATGGTCGAATCGACCATCTTCGAAAGCTGAAAACCGCGCCAACCAAATTGTTGGCTAGATCGACAACCAGCAGGTAGTGACGCTGCCTTCATGCCGCGCGGCTGGGTCAGCCCTGCGAAGATGGTTAATCAACCCGAGCGCTCGGCCGCAGCGCTCAGCAATGAGCTTGTTCAGCAATTCGTAATTCTTGCATTTTTGGAAACTAGAGAGTGCACAGAGTTCACAGGAATTTTCCCCGATTTTTTTGAGCAATATTAACCCACGAAATACGAGTCCAAAAGTCCGTATTTTGGGCTCCCATTTAAACGCGCGCCGCTTGGCCCATCTCAAAATGGCGCCCATTTTCTCCGTCCGGCGGTGGCCACACTTTTGACCCGGCGTGCCGGCGAGGTACCTCTGCATGCCTCTGCCGTGTGTGGGTCGTATAAACAAACGAAGATTGATAACACAAATGATCCAAACAACTCGAAATCTCTTAATTTTAATTAATTTAAATCCATTTTCGACTTCAACCAAGCATTTGGCAATAATATTCATCGTATTTTACAGCCAGGAGCCACGGCCTATCGGCTCATTTTAAGGTGCATTCTGAAAATCAGTCTTACAAGTCCAGTGTCCAAACCCAGACTTTCTTCTTTTACTTTTTTTGACCATTCTCTTTTCATTTTCGCCTCAAATCAAATGTTTTGCAGTTTCTTTGTCTTAAGTATGTGGTCCTGAATTCATTCAAGAGTTAAAAGTTCACCATTCATTTAGTATTATAGCCTTTTAACCTCTCAAGCTTTACCGATATGATCTCATGCAGTTCGAGGTTTCTTTGGCCCAAACCAAGTGATTACACATCTGATGTGTGTCTTATGGCTCTTCAAATTCGCAGTTTAGAACTAAATCAGAGACTACAGTTACTTAATCCAGTTCTGCTCTCTTGCTCAATGTTTGTCATAAGTGTTTGTTCGTGTCTGTTCTTTATAAGTGACCACTGTAGTGCATATACACAGTTATGCTATCGGTACAGGTATTATTTCTTGTTTTCTACAGTCAGGACTTTCTCTTAAGCGCAATAATTTACCAAAGAAATTCACCTAGTTGCGTAAATAATTTGGTGTATAGATATTCTGTTAATGTCTCCTTGCGGTGATTCAAAGTTTCTGAGATCTATCACAAGTGGATTCTGCATTTAGACGGTCACTCTTGTCTGATAAAATTACTGCTCTAGAAGCTTCAAATTTATACTTTGATCTCTGATTCATCACTAAATGACACTCATGCGGTGTCATTTATCTTTAATCAGTTCAAAGCTATTTCGACAATGAATCATCAAAGGTCCGATCGAAGAAGGAATTTTCTGGTGAGTGCTGCGACTGAACCGACATCACAACTCTACTTTCAAAAGCATCAACTTATAAAAATTTATCGAAGTGGTAATGGTAAGAGGAAATCATGGTAGTGCTCGCTTCTTTCATGAGCAAATTGTCCGCTCAAAATTTCAAAATCTACTCACCTGCATGTATATTTGAAGATGAATACGACATGATATGTAGCAGGCTACACTTCATCTATGAATAATACGTAAATTTGTCTTGAGAGCATTCTTAGGAAACTTCCACAATTTTTTTTAGTCTTGTTCCTGAGAGAAAATTTGGAGACGACTCTGCTGGTATTCCCAGGGTTTTTTCAGAAATTTTGTACTTCATAGGTATCATCAAATACTTAAGTATCAACAGATATTGTACAAGACAGAAAATTTATTTGAGGATTCCTGCTAGTATGTTGTGTTTCCTGCAGAAACAAGGATCATCATATTTCATGGAATGAAGTAATCAAAAACTACTTACTTACCTACAGCTTGGTCAGTTTCATGTCTTCCTAGAGTGAAGAAAATATTTTTTTTTTCTCTCTATTTAAGAATTCAGGGTGAATCAAACCTGTCCAACAAACATTTTAATAAAATCCCTTTGTTCAAAAACACCTAAGAATCATTTCAATGGTAAAGTTGCCAACGATTCTTGTTAAAAGTCCGAAAGTCGGCTGGTTTACTGAATTTCTCAGGTACAGATGGATGGAAGGATTTTGAAAAGACATAGAATTACATCCTCCCATAAGTATAAGTCAGGAACATGGTTAAGGTTATCTGGGGATGACATTTGTAACATTCGTTGCATGATTTTATAATCGAAGAGAAACAGAAAGTCTGAAACTTTGTAAATCTACGTTAGTGGTTTTCTAGTTAGGCTATGACATTGATATGCTCGTTTTGTTATCAATTAATCTCCACAAAGGTAAGCATACTTACAAAAACTGTACCACAAGAGATGCGAATGTAACTTGTGATACCTAAGTGACTTTACAAATCTTACCTGTTAAACTACCAGCTGCCCGATTATTGAAACTATGTCAGCCCGACATGAAAAGACATAGCCCTATCATATCCATGCAATATATTCGAATTTGATGTCTTGTCAGGTTGCTCTAAGCCTTCAATAATCGGCCTGCTGATTAGTTGCAAAATATTTCCACTTCCAGACGAATGATCATGTCTTGGTTGATGCTTTCGATAGTAGAGTTGTGATGTCGGTTCAGTCGCAGCACTCACCAGAAAATTCCTTCTTCGATCGGACCTTTGATGATTCATTGTCGAAATAGCTTTGAACTGATTAAAGATAAATGACACCGCATGAGTGTCATTTAGTGATGAATCAGAGATCAAAGTATAAATTTGAAGCTTCTAGAGCAGTAATTTTATCAGACAAGAGTGACCGTCTAAATGCAGAATCCACTTGTGATAGATCTCAGAAACTTTGAATCACCGCAAGGAGACATTAACAGAATATCTATACACCAAATTATTTACGCAACTAGGTGAATTTCTTTGGTAAATTATTGCGCTTAAGAGAAAGTCCTGACTGTAGAAAACAAGAAATAATACCTGTACCGATAGCATAACTGTGTATATGCACTACAGTGGTCACTTATAAAGAACAGACACGAACAAACACTTATGACAAACATTGAGCAAGAGAGCAGAACTGGATTAAGTAACTGTAGTCTCTGATTTAGTTCTAAACTGCGAATTTGAAGAGCCATAAGACACACATCAGATGTGTAATCACTTGGTTTGGGCCAAAGAAACCTCGAACTGCATGAGATCATATCGGTAAAGCTTGAGAGGTTAAAAGGCTATAATACTAAATGAATGGTGAACTTTTAACTCTTGAATGAATTCAGGACCACATACTTAAGACAAAGAAACTGCAAAACATTTGATTTGAGGCGAAAATGAAAAGAGAATGGTCAAAAAAAGTAAAAGAAGAAAGTCTGGGTTTGGACACTGGACTTGTAAGACTGATTTTCAGAATGCACCTTAAAATGAGCCGATAGGCCGTGGCTCCTGGCTGTAAAATACGATGAATGTTATTGCCAAATGCTTGGTTGAAGTCGAAAATGGATTTAAATTAATTAAAATTAAGAGATTTCGAGTTGTTTGGATCATTTGTGTTATCAATCTTCGTTTGTTTATACGACCCACACACGGCAGAGGCATGCAGAGGTACCTCGCCGGCACGCCGGGTCAAAAGTGTGGCCACCGCCGAACGGAGAAAATGGGCGCCATTTTGAGATGGGCCAAGCGGCGCGCGTTTAAATGGGAGCCCAAAATACGGACTTTTGGACTCGTATTTCGTGGGTTAATATTGCTCAAAAAAATCGGGGAAAATTCCTGTGAACTCTGTGCACTCTCTAGTTTCCAAAAATGCAAGAATCACGAATTGCTGAACAAGCTCATTATGTCAAAGTGACCCATTTTGAGGGCTACCATGCCCGCTTAGTTTTGCCAAAATGGACAGCGGTCATTGCTACAATTTTTTGGGGGCTTTTAATGGAAAATAGGGGGCCAGGAGCTCCATAAAATGAATATCTGAGAACGCTAAATTGTAAAAATGAAAAATATGAATTTTGTTATTTTACTCAACTTATTTTATTTACTTTTAGTCCAGACTCTTAAAAACATCGACAAGAAAAAATATACTCTTGATTCAATCAGATTTAAGCTTAAATCAAGAACCAAGCCTCTTAATTTGAGCGGATTTCCTTTTGATTTAAGCTTAAATCTGATCGAATCAAGAGTCCTTTTTCTTGTCAATGTTTTCAAGAGTCTGGACTCTAGATACAATGTGTTTTTTTTCCAGGGCGGAATATGCTCCGAAAATTTTACATCAGAATTTGACTTTTCTACATTTACAAATTAGAACATGGAAGAAAATTAAGTACCATGCAATGCAGCTGTTTGATTCTGGTCACAGCTGTCTTTTTCAAGCATAGAAAAACAAATTTATTTCATCTCGGAATATTACCCATATCGAGGGCAAAAAGGGTAAAGAAGTGAAGCGTTTTTTTTTTAATCTAAGCCTTTCATTTTAGCATGTATGCGTTCATTTACTAATAATTCCGACTTGTGTGTTCAGAGCACATGTGGTTGCCCCGATCGTAAGGCCGGTAAATGCCCTAGCTGCCCGGTTGGATGTTGCTATTATAGCTGCACAGGCCCGGACTGGCCATAAGGCCGATCTGCCATTGGCGGATACGCCTCCTTGGCGCGGCGAAAATGCGCCCCCCTGACAGATGGCAGAATAAGAAGATAACAAAAATTACCACCGAGAAAATATGAGGACAATTTCTTCACATAATATAAACAAACACAATTCCCTGGATGCGTTTCGACGACGGCACAGAGATACAACTAATCGTGCTTTGTGGACGTCCGTGCTGCATCCGAAAAATTGAAGGCGCGATGACGCGAGGCGTGAACTCGGCTACGCGCTGTCTTTAGGCTGTCTCTACAAGGCTTTAACGTCGTTAAAGGGTCCTTATGGTATACATTATTAGGGATCAAGGGTTTAAACACGTTTCATATAAATAACATATAATGTTAGGAGGACAGAAATTTCAAGGAACTTCAAGTAAAATTCAACCAAGCAACTATTCTAGGATAAATAATTAGGTATAGGATTGCAATAATTTGAACTTATACTCTTAAAAGTACGAGATAATCGAGAAAATATTAATTTCATGACAATTTTTAAAATGTTCAAAAGGCCACCCAAAAATCGGCCAAACTCAAAATCATTCTCTGGTAATTTTGAATTTTTCCCTCCATACAAAGATGGCTTTCTTTTCCAACATTTTGATACGGACCCCCTGAGCCTTAATTCATTAAAATGTAAGTTAAATAAGGCACATGCCCGAACAAAAATCAACCAATAAGGGTGACTATGTAAGCGGCATTGCGCATTTACGGAATTTAAGTTTGATTAATCAAAGCACAACTTGATACATGCGATTCACTAAATTCACGCCGGTACCCTTGTTTATACACAGTTTCGACCGTGCCAAAAATTACGTTCGGATATTTCCTCTTTTCTAAGATACTTTTTTTTGTTTCCATATTCTTAAAGAATGTTTCATCCAAAAATCGGTCCTATTTCCTATCGGAATAATATATACATAAAGTAATATAGTTATTAATATTTAAGTGCTGACATAAAACAGCACTTAAATATACTAAATCTATAATTAAAAAAGATATTAATCATTAGCAATAGAGAAGGAGAGGTAGAATAATATATATATTAATCATTAGCAATAGAGAAGGAGAGGTACACGGCAGAGTACACTTAAGTAAAAAATAATTTTTAAATCAAAGTGCTTATTCTTAATTTGTGATCACTTTCAAAACTTCCAACAATCACGATATTTTCTGCGATTTCCAACCCAAGAATTTGATGTGTTATGAAAATTTAGAAGATTTACAATCATCATCATAGACCAAGCAGTTACTTATAGTCAACAAATCAAATCGTTCAAAAGTGTGCAACATTATCAATAACGATGAGCCACTGTTGGGGCAATGAATGCGTTTTGAAATAACACAGGGAGCCGTTAACACCTTCTAATATCTCAAAACATCAATATAACTGAATCATACTGTCAAAAACTCAAATGTATAACTTTGGGTGAAGATATACTTAGAGCGATTATGTCACAGAGCAGTGATCCGGCGCACAGTTTACTGTTTCAACATTCGTTTTATCTTTAAAAACTCGGAATTTTTCAATTAAATAGCTTGCGAAGATTCTGGCTTAGTGTAATGTTAAGAAATAGGCTTAATGTAAACAAAACAAACAAAAAAACATATAAAAATTAATGTAACATTGACTTTTTGCGCACAATATAATCATGGTTATTATGTTAATTAAAAATTGACTCATAAGAAGACAAAATGTGTTAAATTATCTGATATCGTGAGTCGTATGAGTTTGCCACCAATTTTGAAAACGATCGTCAAAATTCTCAAATTTTTGTCGATTCACTTCCTAATTAGATTTCAGATAAATCACCCTTGGAAAAAAACATTGATTCCTTATCAAATGAGTGGCTTAAAAATGGTAACCATAACCAATAATTTTGGTATATTTTTACCAACAATAATTCTACTGCAAAATATCAGTAATATCATTTCTTATGAAAAAAATTCCACGGTTATTGCGTGGTTAGGACTACTGTCGATTAAAGCCCAATTCACACAATCAAAATTTTCATCCGACATAATTGAACGAAAAGTTGGATGGAAAGTTGGACACCATAAAATTTGATTCAATTACCGTTGCAGTGTGATATCGTCATCAGCCTGCGGTTCGCGAAGATACAGCTTCGGCTCATGTCGGTCGAAAGATTTCGTTCCAACTTTTCGAAAATTTGAATGTGACGTCACACTCAAGTTTCCGTTCAATTTTTCATCAAATTGTCGATTTCTCTCATCAGTATCACACTATTCAACCATTCTTTCGACAAGTTACATCCAAGAGTTGGCTGAAAAGTTTGATAGCGTGAATTGGGTTTTTCAGGTCATGGGAGACACCAATAATTCGGAAATTTCAATCATTTTTTTCTGATTGTCAGTGCACGACTATTCATGGGTTCAATACTGAGTATGATGGAACTATTCCGAGTGGACGATCGGATTTATGGCACGAAGCTTCTCTTCGGAAGCTTTAAAATGTCGCGTCACTCTTCGTCATATACCTATACAGCCGTCAAGACGGGTGAGTTGGACGCAATTCTGTCGAATGGAACTAAGTGCATTAAGAAATGAGCCCTGAGATCCATAAGAATACATGCATGGCAGGGCTCACGTCATAATGCACACAGTTCCGTTTGACAGAGATGCGTCCTATTGAGTCCCCAGACGCGACGAAACGGCGCACAGTGGATCGAGTCAATTATGGAGGTCGGAAATGAAATTTTTGACCAAAACTGCAAATTTTGATGTTTATTTCGGCACAATTTAAATTTCAAAGGGTGCTCTTGGAATGAAATTTAACGAGGAAACCAATGGAACCACTTTTAGAACCTCAAAGTTTTGTATAAGCGGAGTTGTAAGCGTCTAAAGTTTCCAAATTTTGTCCGACCTCTCCTATTGACTCGATCCACCGTGCGGCGGCTCGGTGGCATTACAGGGGAGCCGTGGACCCGCTTTATTAAAGAGCGGCTCGGTTTCGCGCTAAGATAATAAATGAGATGTTAACATTTCATTATATTCCCACCGCGAGTAAATTAACCGCGTAATCACTCATGCACGAGAGGCGTTAGTAAAATATTGACCGGGGAACACGGAAAAAATCCGAGCCGGGATTTTTAACAATCATCACGTCGCGATATTAAGCGCCGCGCCCCATCGCACCGCGCCCGCCCGGGGAAGAAAAATCAACAGTAAATACCGGCGCGGGGAGGCTTTGGGGTTTCCTTATGAGTCTGGGAGGGGATGGGGGGCGGGGGACATGCGAGGACGTGAAAATGAGAGGGAGGACGGCGAGAGGAGGGCGGGGAGGGCGGCCGAGGGTAAAAAGTAATAAGAACCCAGCTGGTAGTCAACACGGGGTATAATATTAGATACTTGCTCCATGCTCGCCGCGGCAGGAGTTTTCGTTTCACAGGGCTTAATAAATAGTTAATACTCACTTTGAGCTGGAATTAAAATGCAAGGAGCCGGCCACGTTTCGCTCCTTCTATCCGTTTTCAGGACGGGGTTCGATACTCAACGCCGACGGCTAATTACCCGCGGGCCGGGACCTGCGTCACCTAGATGTTCTGTTCTAACTTGCCGGTGAGAGTAGAACGTTGGAGGATTTGTTCATGTTCATTATTAGTTTATCCATTTTTAAGCTTTCTTGAGTTATCCTGCAGGATTAACCTAACCTAACCTAACCCGACCTAACCCAACCTAACCGAACATAAACTTACCTAACCTAACCTAACCTAACCTAACCCAACCTAACCTAACCCAACCTAACCTAACCTCACAAATGGACAGACAAAGAGAGACATAGAAGAGAAAAGAAAAATGGAGTCATCAGCGGTCCAATTGGTTGATACGGATGGTTGCAATGGACACAGGAAGTAAGGAATTGATTAACTAACGGGAACCCACGCGAGATCCTATTGGCATCCATCATTTTTCCCCTTGGTCTAACAACCCCCCGTTTTAACCAACAGACTCCTTCCATTTTCCTTGGGTCCTCTTTGTCTATAGCTTTGTCCATAAACAATAATCGGTCCGATGACCTCAAAATTATTACCGAAATTTCCGCACCTTGCCATGTAGGTACTCTACAACACGGTGAATGCGATACTCTGTATTTCCGCGCCAAGTCTGCAAGGGACAGTTGCGATTGATGATCGATTATCGACATCTCCACATTTGAACCTATAATAAAGAATCGATTATTAAGGTGCTCGTTGCGAACACTCCATTCATCGATCCTTTACCATAGGTTTAAAAGGCGGATCAATCGATATATCGCAAAGCACGCCACGCTACTGGTGAGGGATCTGAAGTGGCGAGGCCGCGAGGGAAAAAGGAGAGGGTCAATGAAGTCAATCGGTTTCATCTTACAAGTCGCTGTACGCAACGCTTCCTCGCAGAGTATAGACGCATTTCTATCAAACGGAACTATGTGCAATATGATGTGAGCCCTGTTATGCACATATTCTAATGGGTCTCAGGGCTCATGTCTCAATGCACATAGTTCCGTTCGGCAGAAATGCGTCCATATATCCGAGACATCCGCGACTCTCCGGGCCGGCGAGCCATTTCAAAGGGGGATGCTCCTCGAAGCAGTTGAATCCGAGGGGCGGGCCCGAACTCTCACCTTTCTCAGCCCTCCGCGTTCTCAAGTTCCCGCTACCCCTCTTTAAAATCCAGCAAATATCAATATTGACAACTATATAACGTTCGCTCCGTTATTCATGCCGGCTTTCTAATTTATTTTTCTAAAATACATATCTCGGAAATTCCTCGAGTGCCCTCCGAGTATCAGCCCCGGAACCCCGGAAGATTTCACCCCCCTCCCTCGGTTTTTTTTTCTTTCATCTGCGGCTTTTAGTCAAGTTCCCGCTAATGCATTCCTGTTTGATGCGCCGATCCGAGCCCTCGTCTCGCATGGAAAGCTCTGCGCCGTCGAAAAGTTAAAACAGGAGCTAAAAGGAGACGCAACGAGCAATGCTCTCGATCCGCCCGTTTCCACGTTCCGAACCGGGAAGTTGATAAAATCTTCCGAGCGGTTCCCATTATCGTTAAAGGAGGAGTTCTGCGGATCATGCGGAGTATCGAGAAAATCGAGACTGATTTAACCAATTCGACTGGAAGGCTCTCCATCTCCAACAACATATTATACTTGCGTATTCATTCCATTCGTCCTGTCATCTCGAGCACCTTATGAGAGACTTTGGACATCTCGTCTTTTAACTTTCCTCGTGGAATCTTTTTTATGAGAAGGAAGAAGAAAATGGTGGCGATTTTTCACATCGCACAGAGGCACGAACTTATAGAGGAGGTCGGACATGAAATTTTTATGTTTATTTTGCCGCAAATTCAATTTCTATGGGTGATTCTGATAGGAAATTTCACAAAAAAACCAATAATGCCACTTTTGAACTGTTTTTGTTTCAATTTTTCGGAAATATAAGCTCTTAAAATTTCCAGATTTTGTTCGACCTATTCTATTGACTGACCAGTGTTCATCGATAGCGAAACTGCAGAAATGCGTTTCTCGACGACGGTGTTCCGAAATCTCCGCTCCTATTCAATATTTTTAAGAAGAGCCCAAACCAACATCATGTCATAAAATGTTCACATAATATTTCTCAGATAGAGAAACAAATCACCGAAATTTTAAAGAGACGGTGTTTGGAAGTTTTCTAGATAGAAAATAAAATATGAAAAGAACTTAGCAACCGCGCAAACCGATGTACGCATTCCTGCAATTTCGCAGAATCAGGTGAACATTGCAGCGACCTTGCCTTGCCGAGGTAAGCTTTCCATGAACAAGGCTCATATGAAAATTTGAGTTTGTTTTTCAATAAGGTACTATTTACTCTTCAATTTTCCGTAAAATCACATACCTGCATAAAGAAATTAG